GTTAATACTATGTGCCCAGATCACTAACACACCCAGCACCTCTGTGGGGAAGATATGCTGCTGCTGTAATGATTCTCGTATGAAAGAAGACTGAAATGATCAGAATAACCTGTATGTAGTCACTCAGCTTGGTAAATGGCAGACTATGGATTTGAAACCAGACTGAGCCCAAACTCTTAGTTATTATGTGGTATTGACTTGTCTACCTCAGAGTGGTAGGAAGAATAAAGCTTTCTGAAAAAAGTGAAAAAGCTATCCAAAAGGTAAGTCTAGTTATTATTACGTGGAAAATATTTTATTTTTTATTTTATCTTTTTTTAGTGCTGAGGATGGAACCTAGGGCTTTGTACATGCCAAACACATGTTCTGCCGCTGAGCTACACTCCCAGTCTGAAAACATTTTTACTTTTAAAAATCATGGACAAGGGCTAGGAATGTGGCTCAAGCGGTAGCATGCTTGCCTGGCATGCGCAGGGCGCTGGGTTCGATCCCGAGCACCACATAAAAATAAAATAAAGATGTTGTGTCCACCGAAAACTAAAAAGTAAATATTAAAAAATTCTCTCTCTCTCTTTCTCTCTCTCTCTCTCTCTCTCTCTCTCTCTCTCTCTCTCTCTCTCTCTTTAAGAAAAAAAAATCATGGGCAATCTGCAGGACTCAGGTGGGGGGAACATGCATGGCCACATTGTGTGGAAGAGATCAGAAGCCTTTCAGGCCACTTCTGGCTTTGCACAAAAGTTCCAGAAAATCAACAGCCCACAAAATGTTATTGCTCACTCCCCTGATTACCCCAGGCACAATCTGGGGCTGATAACAATGAACATCAGGAGAAGAAAGAGAGTACTTATGCTTTTATTCTCATTTTTAATTGATCTTAAAATTCTTGCCTGGCCCTTTGCCTTCAGCACAATCCAGAGTCATGAATCCTTGATGCGTGTCCTGCTGCACAGGACAATGAATTCCTTTTCCCTGTACCAATTTCCTGCCTGTGTTTCTGTTCTGGGACTAATGTACAGACCATTCCAGTTCAGAGATGGAGCAAGCCCCGCTCTCCTTAGTGCACAGTGCTCTAGCCTGGCTGCCATGAGCACTCTGTAGGAGGGGCCAAAGGGTTCTGCAGCTTGTGGTGCTTCCCACTGAGTCAGCAGAGGAGTTCTTTTGCAACTAATTGTATCCATCTGTTTTTTAAAAGTGCAAAAACAATTCTTGAATTTAAGTATCCATTTATACATTAATTACACTGATCTCAGTTGCAGCAGTGTAGTCTAATAGCTGCAATACCCAAATCTGATATCAGAATGTGGCGTGCATATTTTAATTTGAGAAATAGTTTAACATTTCTAGATATTCATTTAGTTGTGGTTTTGCAGGTTAAACATAACGTATGATCACTGCTTCTTTCATTGCTTCCAATTAAACCTTGCTTGTTAGTTTAACCTCTAGGTAATCCCATCAAACAATTGATGTCAAGGAAACACTGCCCACAGTAGCTTCGGATGAGTGGCCATTAATTTTAATTGCCTTGATATTAAAGATTAAGAAGTATTGGGACTAGCAGAATAGAAACGATCTGATGTCAAGCAAATCCACTTGCTAAAGCTTCCCCAGGCTGCTGGTGATATTAAAATTTTACTGTGAGAATTAAATAAACCTTTATTAGTGATGACTGTTGTTTGATTGGTCCAGGGGTGTGCATAAACAGAGGATTCTTACATATCTAGAGATGAGACCTTCGATGGTACAAAGATTCTTCAATTATGAAACTGTTAATAAAGCTGTAATCTGATTTTCCTGGCTAGGTTTCATTAATGTATTATAGCTTCTCTGATTGTCAAGGTAATATTAACTACAAAGTACTGAATCCAACAGAGAATTGTTTAGAAGAAGAGAATTCTAAGATGGGCCTTTGTTGCTAAATTCAGAGTTGGGGAATTTTCATTAATTATGCTTAAGAAATGCCAAATTCCCTCTCAACCAGGACTGTCTCCCTTTGCACTACAGATGTATTCACACTTAACTCTTTCTGAGGCTTAACAGGCTTACTCAGAAAGGAGCTTTGTTCCCCCCAGCTCTATGTCCACCTCCTGAGCTGGGAACATGCATGGTACAAAGTGAGGTCTGTTCTGAAAGGATTGGCTTTAACAAGAATAATCAGAACTAACATCTTCAGCATTCTTTTTCAATCATGATTCAGAACGTTTATGTTTGTGTAAAATGTTCTAATTCCAGCATTGGAATGGATGCTAATGTCGGTGAGGCTGTTCTTCTTGTACAGAAATCCTCCCCTGGTATCTGTCTTCTTTAAGGACTAAATTCCACATCCTCCTCTCTGCCATTCCCTCCCCCCCGACCTCCAGCTCGTCAGGGGCCCAGTTCTGCCTGATCCTCCTCCAAAATATCTGCCTTCTCCTTGCCTTCTGCTCTGCTGGCTCTTCCTCCTGCTGCCACTTCCCTCACAGTGACCCAGCAAACTTCCAGCTGCCAGCAGCCATGCATACCCCCCACAGGCCTATGGGACTCGAAGAAGGGAGAGCGGGAAGGTAGGAGGGGTTAGATCCCTCAGGTTGAGTTCATGGATCTAATTTTGTCTAGATGCCAGAAGTAGAACCAATGAAAGGAAAGGAAGAGGAGCCAGAGTTTAGTCCAGAATAAAGAGAACTATGTATCCATCAAGAAGGACTTCAGTGGAGTCAAGGCTTCTGGGAGGTAGTGAGGTCCATATTTCTGGAGGTTGGGTACCAGGAATACAAAGAGAACTTAGAGAAGAGGCACAGATAGGTTAAAGAGGATTCTGAATTCTGTCTTAGACCTGTTAAGTTGGAGGTTTAGCAGAACATTTATCTGGAAATCTCTTAAAAATCAAGAGCTGAAATTCTTCTTGCAAGTTAGGAATAGAGATAGAAATCTGGGGAGTCTCCACACAGAGAGAATGACTAAAATTTTGAATATGGATAAGGAGAAAGAAAGAAGAGGACCAAGAACTGAGGCATGGAAAAACATACATACATGCACACCCTGCTATGCCAGGAAAAAGCAGATGTTGGAGGGGAAGTGGGGGCAAAATATCAGAAATCACACAGAGAGTGAGCTCTGGGAAGGTACAACAGTGGTTACCAGTATCAGATGCTGCCCAGAGGTCAGACAAGTTGAGGAGGGCCAGGCTAGTGTAGGTCTATCATCCCAGCTACTTGGAAGACTGAGACAGAAAGACTACAAGTTCAAAGCCAGCTTGGGCAATTTAGCAAGACTCTGTCTCAGAATTTAAAGAAGGGTTGGGGGTGTAGTTAAGTGGCAAAGTGCTTGTCTAATTCTTGCTAAGTCCTGAATTCAGTCCTCAGCTCTGTACCCAAAAAACAAAACTAACAAAAAATGTTGAGAGAGAAATGGCCATTGGATTTGGGACAAGTGAGATGCCTGTGAAACCACCTCACCCCTGAGATTTCACAACAAAGAACTCTGCACAATGCTCAATGCATACCAGGTCCGTTAAATGCAGTTGTTATATAGCCACTGTGTTTGGTATGAAGAAAGCAAGGGATATGCACAGTCCTTCAGGGAAAACAAATCAAATGATGGTGGAACAGGAAAAGCTAGGAAGTGCTGATCTGTAGCACATTTACTTCCTGATGGGTTTTGGCTTATTTCTGCCTGATGAACCTATGCATGCTGTGTGGGTCCTCGGCGAGTATGCCTGCCTGTGTGAGTGTGCACATGTGTGCACACAGTGATCCCAGGATGGGACAGCATATGGGCAGCAGTGAGGCCAATGTTGTCTTCCTCACGTGGCTCCCTTGCCAGGACTTTCTGGCTTCTTCAGGAAGGATGAGTGCCATAGGTTGAAGAATGGGAGTTCTATTTCCAAACCAATTAAAGACTTGGCAGAGGTGGTCATCAGGGGTGCCCACTGGTGTAAATTGGGTTGGAGGGCTCTGAACTGCACACTACTCCTTATTTTCCTTCAGAGCCCCAGAGGAGCTGTTAGGGAATAATAGCTTTAGGGTAGAACAGTGACCCCTGATACCACAGCAATGTGTTCCTTTGACAGACTCTTGGGAAAAAATCATTGAAAAGTATTTCTAAACTGTTACTTTACCAAAAGAGAGGTAAGATCCTTTTACACAGCAAGTGGGCATACCTTTTTATAAATCGCTATGTAGCTTTTAGCTGCTGCTTTATATGGCTCAATGACATATGCCTGAACTCATAATGTAACCCTGAGTGGTGCGTCTGGGGCTCAAGTCCTGCTGTCCATAAAATGTGATGAAATCTGTCTGATGCCAAGATCTTTAGAAATTTCTTCCATTTGCACTGGCTGACATCATAAGTAGTGTGTGTGTGTGTGTGTGTGTGTGTGTGTAGTGTGTGTATGTTCCACCTGATGAAATCAGAGCTGCCCCTCTGCATTTTATTGTGACCTTATTGGAATTCTTGAGTTTTCAAGTTGTGGCCTCCTCTCATGTTCCCTGGCAGAGCTTGAGCAGCCATCTTGGCAGCTGTGCAGTGTCTTCTAAGGCAGGAGACAAAGGGATTTCTCATCCATTATTAATTGGTATTACTCTTTGCAGCAGACCAAACACAATTCTATAATACAGCTGCCAACACCGTGACCAACCCCCCAAAAGAAGTTATTCTTTCTCGAGTATTGCTTGTTCTTTACCTAATATAAATGTTTCCTTTAGCTTTTCAGCTGTTTTTAGGGGGCCTGATTACTTACATACAAATTGGTGTCTATATCAATTGGATATTTTTTATGAGCATGCTTCCAGCCAACTGGGAGCCAACTCCAAGAAGAAGCATTATTCCAAAACAGTATGAAGAAATTTGCCAAAAGAGAATGCAACCCCTGAAACCTTTATGAATCACCCATAGGATGTGAGGTCACAGGTGCTGAGTGTCTCCCAAAATGTCCCTTTAGTATGCAATGTTTGTGACTGGAAATTTTGACTTTCTTCTTTTTTGACTTTTCTACCCTTTCAATTCTGTGTTCCTACAATTTGTAG